GAATTACACATTTTATGCAATTTTTCAATTTTATATCTTCTGTTTTGAGAAAACAATGCTGCACATTCATTCCGTCTATGTCAAGAGTTATTTCATGCCATTTGTCATAGTTATTTACAGTGCTCTTTGTAAAACTCAGAAAGAAATAACTTTCTGTTAATTACATAGTGATAACAAATAATACAAGTGTTAATAAAGAACAAATATTAGGGGTATTCAGGCAACTGATTAGTTGCTTAGTTGATTCAAAAACTTCATATAAAAAAAATTTAGCATTTTGATGTTAATCAGTTGCTTGAACGACCCAAAATGCGTAATCTGATTAGTTTGTTGTGTGTAAATGTCTTGGCAGCACTCGCATCAACAGCAAAAGTGAAACATACTTGTGTTTGCAAAATTGTTTACACAGAATTCAAACAGCTGAGAGAGACAGCTAACAAATTTCTATACTAAAGTTCATTTTAAGTTATTATTACGACACTTGGTACTGGTAGCACTATTAATCAAATTTGTACTAATCTGAGAATCACCGAAATAGTTGATAAATAAAATGTAGAACACTAGTAATAAATTATGGTAACAGATATAAATTGATAAAATTTATGACTCACTATAAAGCAGTTCTAGGTATCGCTAAATACCCATCATCAATTGCCTTTGAAATTATTTGTTGTTTGTATTAATCCATATAAAATTATCGAGATTGTAACAAAAATAAAAAATGTGAACAAAAAATATTTATTTACATATTGCTTCCTTTGTTGTTTAAGCAAGCAAAATTTAATATCGATATATTATCATATATTTTGATAATTATTTATAACATTACTGAGTAAAAATAATATAAATTATTTAACAATTGTTAAAAATATGTTGACATATACGAATATCTCAAAAAAATGTGGCAATCAATATTTTTATAATTTATATATATCAACTTATTTTGTATGATATCTAATAAATTCAATTCAATTCTTAGCTTAAAGTTTTTGTAAAATTGGCTGTTTTTGTTTATTTCTTGGTTAGTATTGCTGCATAAATATAATACATAAAAATAATATAATATACGATGAAATCAAATGTAATTTAAAAACTTGATTTTAATTGTGCAAATTGGGTTGTGTTGTGTATACATAATATATGTATGTAAAAAATTTATTTTGTATTAAATTTATAAAAAGGATTTAATTGACCCATAAATTATGCGTTAGCATGTTTATCACAAAATCATTTACATATTTCATATAAATAAAAGATATGATATAATAAAATTAATTTATTTTTAAGTTAGAAGCATTCGAACAGTATTGAAGCAACAACAATAAATATTTTAATTAATTTATTGGAATTTGGCTAACCATATAACGCTGTTTCGAGTTTTGTTAAGTACTCATCATCAGTGATCTTTAGAAAATATACCAATTTTAATTTAAGTAGTTTATAGTCCATATATAATATGTTGGATTGCAAACGCCAGGCTTAGAACTTATGTCTGCCAAATTAGACACACTGACTAATCGTGCTATGCAGCAACTAGCAAAGCTTTTTGTCTGTTTATTTGTAAGTGACACTAACCAAAACCTTGCTATGCTTTTGATTTGAATTCGAACGAGCTTATGAACTACAGGTTTATTTGAAAATACATTAATTCAACGAATTGAAACTCTACTAATGTATTTAACTTAAATAACATAATACTACTCGTAGTAAATTTGAGTAGCACTGTGTATGTACAAGTGCGTTCTGCCAGCAAATTTTCGAGTAAATAAGAGCATATGAGAGATCGTAACATCATTGTCGAAATTTGACTTTACTTGTACATATTATTTCAAGTAAAATTTGTGTTGATGTGCGAATCAGCTGTTTTAGTACGAATTTAAATTTTTGTATTGTTTATTTGCGCGGCTTTGTGTAAAGAGCGAAATTTGTCACTTTATTTGTCTTGCGCTCTCAGTTTACTTCTGTTTTACGAGTAACTCGTGGAACAGATCTAATATTTAGAATATGGTATGCAACTGCCTTTACATTACATTAAAATATTTCAAATTTCATTTAATATTTGTCAGTGTACTTTTTGATGTATTGGCAACACTATTACACGTGACATTTTATACGTCTTGCTCAAAAGTGCCTCAACAAACGAAAGAAAAAAATTGCCTTTATTTTGGATTGATTCCCAACGCTGAGTGGCCGTAGATTTTTTAAGCTAAAATTGATTTTAAATTAAAATTTTTGATATTGCGTTCACGCCAAAACAGTTTAATTTAAAAAAATTAATTTCGGTTTTATGTTATGCGTATGTACATGTGTCTGTATATAATTAGTTACTTCAGTGTGTTTTCTTTTGGTTAAATTAATTTGTGCAATATTAAAAATAAATTTTTATTAATAAAATCGCTCGTCCAGTAGACAATAACAAAGTGGACAACGCACAATCAAAAAAGCAGAAAATAAAAAAAAGAAATATAATCAGCAAAATGTTGAAAATATGTTGCGATAAATAAAAATGCCAAATTGCATATATGAAAAAAAATTAATTAAAAATATGAAAAGAAATGAATAAATTCTTTTATGTATAAAAATTAAAATTTGCAACTTATCAAAAACAGAAATATAAATTAAGCAAATATGGATTTGGACGATGACAATGAGCAAGAAGTGCTTTGCGAGAAGATTATAAACGACATCCATGCCGTTTTTGTCAAGGACGCCGATTTGTAAGTATGAAAGCAACGTAGTTTGATGTGTGGGGTTTGTGTGGTGTGGGGATGAAATCAGTGCCTTGTAAGGTCCTTTTTTGTGTTTTGGGTTGTAATGATAAATTATATTTACTTTTAAGTTTTGTTGTGAATTTTTTACTTGTAGTTGGTCCTTGGTTCTATTAAAAATGTGTTTCAACTAGCACTACTTGCTGCTAAAAATAATTATTCTATTTTTTGTTTTTATTATCAACATTTGATATATATTAATATACAATATATATGTACATATTTTGTATTAATTTTCTTTATAAGCGAAGTGAATTCATTAATTGTCAATTCTCGAACAATTTTTCATCATTCCATTGTTCTTACAAAAATAGGCCACAGTTTTGTATGCCAAATGATAACCACTTGCCCGATTAGAGGAAGACTCGTACGCTTGTGCCTTAATTGAATAATTGCCGCCATACACACACAGAATGCTTAAGCAAAACAATTGCAAAATGTTTGCTCAATTACAACAACTAACGCCATGATCTGGTTCCTTCGTACTTAATTGAAGCCACTTGTTGCGGAAGTTTTTTTTTTATTAAATATACAGGGCCACAATGCATTTCAGTTTAACCCATTATTTTTTTTTTTAAATTAATTTATTGGAATCAACTGGCAGACGGTATAATATTTAACGTTTAATATTTAATATTTAAAACGAAAGTCTTACAAGGGTTAGTTCTTCATTCCAATAGCAACAGTGAAAGCTCAAAAATTCCCCAATAAATAGGAAAGATGTATATGCCGTTATTTACTTAGGAATATGCAAAGTTGTAGAATTTTGGACATCAGAAATTGTTTTGTTATTCACAAAAACATTCTATTTAAAAATATTTAGACAAAACACACAAAATCATTAAGATATACAATAAATCAATGATTCCTTATACAGTCTTCTAATACAGAAACCTGCAATTATCATGATAACTGATCAGTCTTAATACCAGTGGAAGATTGACTATTCACTAATAGACAGGTTGACTGAGGAAAATTGCAACAAAGTAAAACGCTCAATTTTGTTTTTTTTTTTAAATTTAATAAAAGATAAATGAAATTATGCGAAAAGAACTTTAAATTTTTAAGTTAATTTATTTTGGTTCAATATGACCATCCCTACCATTAAGTATGTCCTTCAAATGGCCAATAAAGCTATCGCACGCTGCCCGCAAATATTTTTGGCTCTTTCTTGGCTTAGGGCTTGGTTCAGACGATCGACATTTTGATATTTTTTAGTGCCAGCCTTACTTTTTACCCCAGACCGAGAAATCTAAAAAGTTTAGACAAACACACTGGTCACTGTTTGATGAAATAAAGCATTGTACGTTGTTTTTCAGCCATTTTAGGATGATCTGTTTTCATCCAGCGACCGAAATACTCATCTGCCAAGGATTTTAATGCTCCCTCTTAAACAATGACTTTTGACTCCACAGAGGTATTTGTATGGTGTATATATTAAAATATAATAATAAATATGCAGTCTTCACAAAATGTGATAATAGTTTTATCTGTAATTCCTCCCAAATCTTCTTGTCTTATCGCAAATTCTGAAATAATACACATATGCTAATGAATATTATGTCATCATGTCATATTTATTAAATAATTATGTTGGCGAATAGCAAAAAAATGGGTTTATAAATTTTAAAACCAAAATTTGCTGAACATATAGTATCTATAGAAATACTACCTTCATAAAATACATTAATTTCTTGTTTTTATAAAAATATTTTTTTTGAAAGTTGTCATACAGATACAGATTCTGCTCATAAAACACTTTCTCCATCCATATTCTATAACTTTCTTTTTTTTCTTTGCTTGATGAAACGCGAATTAACATCTAAAGTAGCTTTACACAATAGTGTTTGTGACCACTTCGGTGATACACTGTACCAAGAGCTTTATTAAATAATGTATATAGGTTATTCTGGTGAATTTACATAAGTATACTTCGAAGCCCAATATATCTTTTTGATGAAATATATAGCGCATTTAGAGAGGGTGCATAAGAGAGTGTCTTTTTGAATTAGTGTGAGCATCCACAGAATCAACAATTTCAGTGCTCTGTCATTGATGTACTTTGCAAACTTTCGACTCTCAATTTTTTGGGTATATCTTAAATTTTAAACAATTGTAGTGTTGTAGAATAATAGTGAGTTAAAATACAAAGGCTTGAATTTGTATTTTCTACGCTTGCCTAATCATGTAGACGTCTTACTTCGGAGTCTGCTCCAAAAAAGTTAACTATGCTGTAATATAATATGAATATTAAGCTTATGCAAAATACAAAACAATACTTTGCTAGTGGGCTAAAATTCTACTTCATACATAAACTCTCCACAAATCACCTTTTAAACTTTAAATCAATAGTTTCTTCAATGCTAATTTATACATTGACATCCATCACAATATGGTACAGAGCCATAATTAGATAAATTTATAAAGTTCGAAAGAATAGATACCAATGTATACAAATTTATGTTAAAGGCTTATAATCTGAAGTCTGTAACAGAAATCAAGTTTCTAAATCTATCATTATGCTGCTGAAATCAATATACTCATATGAAGAGTTTCTGGTCTTGACAATCCTTTGTAATTATAGTTGAGTGGTATTCGTGTTTTTAGCAATTTAAACTTTTTGTAACAACTTTGTCTGGTCACATTCCATTGAAGATATCATGTCTAAATTAAGAATAAATTAACTATGATTGATTTCATAAAACTGGATTTGGTTTTAGCCAAGACCTGGTATAGAAGCGTAGAGATCGATGTGATTATATGTTGGGGGTGATGTGTGTAGTGGTGAAACGATACAATCTTTTAATTAAAAGATTATTCCTTTCATTTATTGGTACATTATTAAATTCTATTAAATTGGCTTATAAATTATGTATTTGGTCTTTATCAAACCAGTGGAATATATGGCCCTGCACTTAGAATGAATGCAACATAAGATAAGTAATACAAAATTTGTTATATATCCGACTGTTATATTTTTAAATAGTTACAAAATTGTTCCACAAAAAAGCTACATAATAATAGTCGATTATATATTATATGCAATCCTAAGCATATAGTGGAATATAGTGTATAGCAAAGGACGTAAGGATGATAAAATTCAAAGAGTTTGTAGACTACCGCTTACCCAATGTAATCATTGTTCTTAAAAATATTGTAGTATGACAGATGTCTGTTACGCCAGAGAAAAGCTGAGGAGTTACACAGATTGTACTAAAAGGCGCATTTCTGCAAGTTTGATAAACAGAAACAAGGAAACAATTTCAGAAACCAATATATTTCTTGCTTGCAACAATATACCTACATCCTTCTAGCGTAGTATATGGAGCATCATAAAAACAGAGCTCATATTCTATTATATCGGCAATTCTAGGGATCTAGGTCCAGTGTTATGTTATACCGTGAATTCTAGGGATCTAGGTTCATTATTTTACCGTATAGAAAGTCACAGATTTAAAAAGCATCTTAAACCTTTAGTGGTGGTTTGGTGTTCTTAAAATTGTCTTTAAACAGAGGTGTTGAAGCAGGCTGAAATCCCAGAGAAAAGAAAGGCACTTTCCACAACATCCCTACAACTGTGAGAAATTCAATTTCTTCACTGAATTCTAAAATCCAATTTTTTAACACGGTTCCCTAAACAGCTGTGAGCAAGCCTAGTACAAGACAAACATTTTTCGAGACAAACATTTTTTTTGACATACATATATTTCTTAAATAATAATTTTCCACTTCATACTTTATTCCATCCCATTCGGCTCTGAGTACGCCCATGGACACTTCCCGTCAGTCGAGTGAAATGATACACTTGTAAAAGGTTTTGTAGGTGAATATTGTTACATATTTATTTGAATAAACAATTTTTATTTTATTATTTTTATTGTGTGATTACTTTCAGCAATTTACTCGGACATTGCTTATGTGTAGACCGTTTAGGTGCGATCAATTCCTTTAAAAGAGAATACCATGTTTCATGATCCTACTGAGACCCCTTAGTAAGTCGAAACTTCAATTAAAAATAGTGTTTAGTTTTAAGAATAAAATTTATATTTCGATTTTATAGCATTTTAAAATGGCTCCATGTTGAATTCTGACTCTTCCTCTTACTCTTTTGCCAACGGTTTATATATATCTAGGTTTAACATATTTCTCCAATATGTTATATTTAATTGACTTTATATCTTACACGGCTTGATTTCAACCATATGGGCACCCTGTTTTATTCTGCTTTTGAAAAAAAATATATTAAAATATTCGTTCATTTGCAGATCATCGTTTGAAATTATACCCACACTACTTAATCAAAATAAATCGCCAGTAATACATGTTGATCACAATCTTGGTCTGGAATCGTGGTGTGCACATCATGTGTACGATCACGCGCACAAAACAATTATTGCATATCGTCGATACCAAGCAAATCGGTATCTACAGCAAAGTGACACATTAATCAAGTACCTGAATGTAGCGCTTCTAATTAACCCTGATGTGACGACGTTTTGGCACATAAGGCGACAATTGGTGCAAAAAAATCGACTCAAAATCAATTGTGAATTTCAATTTTCTGCGATAATTTTAACAAAGAAACCAAAGTCAAACGAAGCATTCGCCTATCGTCGTTGGTTGTTTTCTTTCCAGAGTAAGTGTGTTTCTATCTATTAATAATAATAAAAAAATACAATTCACATTCTTTATTTTTTAGGCTCAGAATCAATTGATTGGCCATATGAGATTGGAATTTGCGAACGTTGTGCTGATCGCTGCTCTAGTAACTATCATGCGTGGTCACATCGACAATGGGTGCTAAATAATGCACCCTTTCTGATAAAGTCGGAATTGATGCGCTCTGAGAAATTCATGCAAAAACACATAAGTGACTACAGCAGCTATCATTATCGACAAGTGGTCATATCGCGAGCATATGATATGTGTTATTATGATGCAGAAGATATGAACAATTTAACTAGTCTCAAAGAACTTATTGGATATTATATTATAACGGATATACAGAATACAGATGATATTTTGGAGAAACTTTTGCCCAATGTAGACCATACGACTGTGGGTGAGCAGCGCTTAAAATCATTTTTGTATTGCTGTAATTTAGCAGCACACGACATGCGACTCTGTGACGATCAAAAAAATATGTATGGTGAACGAGAATCCTTTGAATTGCATCGCCGAGCTTCGTTGAAGTTCATTGTGGAGCATTGCGTGCGTATTTTGTTGGGTGCAAATTGCAGTCTGAATGCACAGCCTGTAACGCCTGCTCTAGCACAAAAGTTCCATGCACAACTAAAGAAATTCGACTATAACTCTAGCAGTTTTCTTTCAGCGCTTAAGCGTTCTGAAAGCCTGCTTGGTGAGAGACATCGAAAATGGTGTGCAATGAATTTGGGTTTTAATTATGAGTCGACGTAAAAAGCTTCGACTCATAAAAATTAATTTGAATTTATATTTAATTCGTGTTAAGATGGTTGAACTCATTTTGGAGTTTAATTTTTAGCAATTTTTTTTTTATTTAGTTGTTTTTTTTTACTTTTCTTATAGACAATTATCCTATTAATATTTTGCCATTTAAGTGTAAACAGTTGCCTCAATTTTATAACTAAATTTATAATGAAACATATACGATGAAACAAAGAAAAACAAATCAAAATAAAAAAGTTTTCATGTGATGATAAATGACCCTCAGACTAGTTAAGATAAATGATTGTTTAAAATGAAAAGTTGTTTATATGAAGAAAATATTACTTTGAAAGTGTTCAATTAGTGGTTTTAAATGATATCTTTATATAAAATGTTTAAATTTAATTAATTATGGATTCTCCTAAAATTTCTATCTCTTTCTTAAAGTTTATGTCAGTTATATTAAAATTCATTCTCTTAAAGACAAGCGACATTATCACGTTTTTGAAACTAATAAAATATTTTATAATTTTATCAAATTAATTATTAACTAATTGCCTAACTATTTTAATAAAGAAGACTACTATATTGTTTGTTGCATTTATAATTTAATTTTTTTGTAAAAGTTATTATTGTTATTAATTATGTAAAACAAATTGTGTATTAACGATTTCAACTTGATCAAATACTCTGGTTTTAAATTGTAACCTCATATTTTAAGATTTAAATAGACAATTTTATTTTAATTAAAAACATAATTGAAAAATGCTTACAGAATTTTAATTTAAAGTGATATAATAATTTCGGATATTAAATTTAAAAATAATAATATATGTGATATATATTATTGATTAAAAGTGCAACTTTAATTCCAAATGCTATCTATTATTAACTTAGTTTTTGTTATAGTATTTATACTATTGCACCTAGAGGGTTAATTATGTCAAAAACTTTGTCGCAAAACGTAAAGGTCATAGATACCGGTGGTAGCTCGTCTCGCAAGATTAACGGCTGTTTTAGGCTTTAACAAGCGAGTCAAGCTAATAATAGCTGGTTTCGTTAGAGAAACAGTTCAGTTAGGCTCTAAGAAATAAGGTTATACCGCAGACATAATCTAGGCAAGTTTTTTCGAAAAAGTTTAGTTAAAGATATCTGTATTTTCTACCCTATGTGTCAGTTTAATAAAATGAACCATTTTTATATAGACCGAAGATATGGAATATATGAAAGTGATTTCCACCGAAAGTGAAATCGGTTACTTTGGGTTTCACGTGCCCGCAGCTGTGATTGTTCTGGTCACTGGTTTTATTCCGTAAGGTACTATCATGGAAGCTGTGGTTGGCAACTAAATGTACACAGGTAGAGTGTAAGCATTCGTGCTTTTTTCACTCAATTATTGAATTTATTTTTTGACCGAGTGCTGTGACCCAAAGAACAATAGAGTTTTTACAACTTCATCGGTAATCGAATAAAATATAAATATAAAATATAGAAATGATCTGTAAATCTATACAGGTTAAGTTTAAAATGTACTGACTGAATGGTGTATTGCTTAACAAAACGATATATCCTTAGTGCCTATGTCGGTAATGTTGGAAAGATACTTGATAAGAGAATATGCTGGAGTGAATAAACACTTTCTGGTGGCAATTATTTAACTTTCATAATATCTTTATTAATATGCCAAAATAGAATTACAATCTGTCTGTCTTTTATGTTGTCAATTTATTCGCTAAGTTGGTAATGGTGATGTTATTTGGAGGTTTTCGGCTTAGGCTAAGGCCCCTATACACTGCGACCAGTTTGATCTATTGTGCACTATTCGCTAAGTTAGTCTGTGATTGAAGTGTTGCATTGAAACGTTTTGTAAATCTATACCAAAGAAGTCTAAATGTTACTGATATTCGTGAACTATTTTTTGTGTATATTTTCTTATCTCTTCAAAATATTAAAATACCTTCTGATTCTATAGTTTTAGAAAAACTAAAGATTACTCGATAAAACAATGCTTTTATAACTAATTTATTCAATTTTTTCGGTATAATGCGGCGACTGTCCAATCTGCTACGCCCATTTTGTTGCCTTTGTTTAGTACTTTAGCTGTCTAATTTTTCTCAATCCATCTGTAATATGAATACAGTGCGTGTTTAGTCCATTCTTGGGTTACCTTCTTCGTAAATGAGCTATACAACGCAAATTTAATGTATTTTCTCATTTTTGCTCCTCACTGATCGAGCTCAAGATTATAGTATCCTCTAATCTATTCTTCTCTTGTATATCAAAAGCTAGAGTATTTGATATGATATATACTTTATCAAGCATTCATATGGAAAAACTAGGATTATGTGCATGTGTTTCTTGATTCTTTCTTAGAGTTTTAAATTCTGTATCACATGAAAGTTCTATTTATAATATGAACTCTATCCTGCTGAGATTGTATCACTTTTTAACTGAATTTGATTCACATACAATTGTAAACATCTTCTGTTTTTTTTATTATTTGATCTTTTAATCTCATTATATATTCAGCTTTATAGAATTTGTTTTATGTTACTTCAGATGTAAGGTCTTAGAGATTCCTGTGTGAAGTTTTTATCGGAGCATTTGATGCTATAAGGACAATGCCGTCAGCAAAGATTACTATACCATTACTAATGAATTTATTAATATTTACATAGGCATTATTAACCCTATTTATTATTAGCCTAAATGAACTAAGTTCATTGCTTCGATGAAGACAACAATCATTTTAATAAAATACATTATGCTACAGTAACAGTCAATGTACGAGTACTAATGTAAAGTTTTTATTATTGTCTGGTATTTATATCGTTAATGATGCTTATCCAACGCTGACAATAATATAATAAAAAGCGTAAAAGAACTACGTATCTTAATATATAGACTTTAGACATGCATAATTTTTAATTAAATTTAATTTTTCAAGCAGTTTTTAATGATATAAGGCTATTTTGCTATTAAATCCATAGTTTGCGCTATTTTCTTTTATTTAAAGAAAAAAAAAGCATATTACGCGTTATTATGCCGTCTATAATGTAACACTGTTAAGTCCTTGACAGTATTTTTAACCTCTTAAATATTTCAAGGGTCGCAACTTTGGAAAATATTCGAACAAGAAAATAAATAAAAATTACAAAATAATTGTGGCATATGTTTAGGCGGTCAGTAAACAAAATTATTTATTAAATATGGTGTCATGTGTAATGCCGTGCACGGTGTTAAGTGAAGTGATTTTCAACGACTATAATCAATGAAATGGTTTTATTAGAGGTGCGGTGCGTGTTGCGGTTCGCAATCAGTGAAGGCATTTAAAATTACACATTAATGAGAAGATAATTTTCTTAATTATTTTTATACTTTTCTGGAGTTCAAAAATTATACTTAAATAAAAATAGAAAATATATTTCAAAATATAACATGCGGATATATAAAGACAAAAGCGAGGGTGTACAGAGAAGTTCTTAGTTCTTTGTTTAACTGCCATCAATGGAATAAGAGATTGACGCAAATGACCTCATTCGGTTAACAGTTCCTAATTGTTTTTAATTATAACCGCCCTTGGTTAATACTAGAAAAAATACAAACTATTAAGGACTTAGCTGATTATAAGACTGGTACTCTACAGCAGTCTTTTACTTGAATTCTAACGAGAACTTGAGGTATCGGAAACTAAAAGTGCATACCATTATGTTTGTATCTTACATAGTTAAAAAAATTTAGAAAAAACTATTTTCATATCAGACTATACGCGGGAGAAGCTCAAAACAAAAGTATACAATATCAATATAATGATGTTAAGAACTATACATATAAAAAAACACAGTGCGTTTTTCAAGTTTTAATAAATAAACAACTAAAGTCTGAAAATGTAGAATTATTGAAAACAGAAGTCAATGCATCTAAAAGTACTCCTTGCTTCTCGGTCGCGGTGCCCCTATTATGTTTCTCTGCTAAAGAAGAGATGATATTAGCAGTACAGAAAAAAATTTATCTCTACTAAACCTTCAAAATGGTGCGGGAATTGTAGTGCAAACTGTTTTTTATGAGAGTTTAAAACGATGTAAACATCATGACGTACTACTGAAAACAACCAATTGCACTCACGATTGGAACCCAATTGATTGATAAATGAATTTATTTTCATTTCTAGATGTCTTTCCTCCATTAACTCCAAGTGGAATATAAAGTTTGACAATGCCTTTATTTGGTGTGGTAACATGGAACCGTGACAACAAATGCTTTACTAGGCTTTTAATATGTCACCAGGTAGAGAGCTGCTTTTTGAATTCCGTTACAAAACTCACATAGCAGTTTGTAAGTTTAGCTTGTGATCGTCCTATCTATCATATCTAATAGCTCTATCTATGCTTAAATATCCTATGCAGCAATAATGTCTCCTCAAATTAAAGGTTTATATTTTAAAATATGAACACCTTTTGTTGTATATATATGAATATATTCATTTTTTCAACAGATGTAGTCATTTGTTTTTTTTTTTATTGTGCCTAACGGATCGTCACCATGCTGTCACAATAGTGGTATGGCCATTTTGCACGGACGAAAAACAGTCCAGACCTTTTCTACTCTGGAACTTTTTCGGAAATACTTCAAGGTAGGCTTCCTGTGTTGGTTATCCATTAAAAATTTTCTTTGTTAGTCTGCCTTCAGGCCTCCCTTAAGTTTATTTGTTCACATCCTTTTCGCAATTTTACATTTTTGATATAATTTTTCCGTTTGAGTATGATAGTAACGAATTGGTCTATGGCGATCTATTTTTTCTTCAGATAGCATCATCTTCGTTGTGATATCTTCTATGTTTATTTAACTGATTTTGTTTCAAGTAATGGTGTGTTCAGTGTTGTATTCGTCGGCATCTCCGCAAATGCATTTCCAAGCAAATGATTCGAAATGCATATACAAATGCAGTCATTTGTTATTAAAAGTTTATAATAAGCATTAGTATATTTTTTTTTATTGAACGCTCAACACCATTTATTAAAATTATAGCCAGATTTTGTTGCAAAGCCTAACATTAGTCAAATATAAAAAAAGAAAATAAAAACAACTATTTATGGCTAACTGCACCAAAAAAGGAATAACATTTAGATAAAAATAATAGAACATAAAGAATAAAAAAGTGCTAGATAACTGTACTTAAAAAAAAGAAAATAAAAACAACTATTTATGGCTAACTGCACCAAAAAAAGGATTAACATATAGATAAAAACAATAGAACATAAAGAATAAAAAATTGCTAGCTAACTGTACTTAAAACCGGAAATAAAAATGAAAAAAAAAATCTGTAGAAAAATAAAATTTGTAAAAAAACAGTATTAAAACAGATTCACATTATTCGAATCACTTTTAATTGAGTTCACTTTAAAGATGCTCTATTAGAAGTTCAAAATCCTTATCAAATTTCAAACTACGTAAAAAAATCAGTGCTTATTAATAGAGCTTTTTAGGAAGTGACTAATTGCATCTA